GGTTTTTTTCTAATATCGTGTTGGTGCAAAAATCAGCTATAAAATTCAAAGTTTTGAAAAATCATAAAGCTCTTAAATATTAAACGAGTCTACGATTTTCTCAAAGTATAATATTTCTTCAAAATATTTCGCTATAATTGAATGATGGTACCCATCGATGTTATTGCATGTTATGCAAGTATGTGTATGTGTTCATCTATATTTTTATTTCGTTATAATAATCGAAAGTTAAGCATGAAATAACAACCATTTTAATTGGAATTGGCTACCGGTACGCTTGGCATAATAAATTATATTACCTCCACATAACATAGAAGAAGAAGAACCTTCTACGCAAACATACATACCTACACACACACTTTTATGTATATTGGCAATGTAAATGGTGTGCACTGTGTTTTGCATATTTATTGGCCAACGGACATTTTAAGCATTTAGTATAAAAGACTTGCTTAGTTTGGCATTCATTATCAGTTTTAAATTGTCACTCAAAAACAAAACACAACCAAACCACCAACAAAATGTTCAAATTCGTAAGTTGAATTGAATCGAAATTACTATACCTCGGAATGGTTTTGTAACTGTAAATCCTTATTCATTTTTTCAGATCGCTGTTTGCTTCTTCGCTCTCTTGGCTTTGGCTGCTGCTAAACCCGGTGTTGTTGCTCCTCTGGCTTATACCGCCCCTGTGGCTTACTCTGCTCCTTTGGCCTACTCCGCTCCTTTGGCCTATACCGCTCCCGCTGCAGCTGTTGTTGGTAGCGCTGCCTATGTTGCTCCCTATGCCTCCAGCTACAATGCCCACACCATTGCCCACTCTGCTGCCTTCCCTGCCGCTTATGCTGTAGCTCCCGCCGCTGTTGCTGCCCCAGTAGCCACCCCCTTTGCCGCTCCCCTTTTGTTGAAAAAGTAAATCAGAGAATGTGAATTTTGAATAAAACACTAACCCAAACTGTGATGACAATGGAAAAATTAACTGAAAAGAAAATTTTATTGTTTTAAATTTTGATTGCTTTATGACATAAGCTGCACTGTAGTTTATGTATTAAGTTAGTGTATAAACTGTTGATGTAGTTGGAATTATTATTGTTTCTGTAGGCCTATTCTGTAACTTTTAACAACATTTGATATTGTTTAATTTTCTTTTGTTAATGTAAACAAAACAAAGCAAACAAATGAAATTGTTGTAAAATAAACAATGTCGAATGTTGTTTAAAAGTTACAGAATATACGTACTGATTTGGATAAAGCTACGACGTCTTATCAAAAGTCTAGTGTCAAGTCAAAAGTCTAGTAGTTTAGTCGGACGCGGATGACCATATGATCCCCTACACAACTACCACAGAACTCGAACTTTGTGCGGAAATATATTCCGACACTGGACAATATTTCGCCTTATTGACAATCTCTTGACCAATTAGTGTTCAACAGCTCCTCTTTCATGCCCTGATATATTTACGCCATAACATACAATTATTTTAATTTTAATACACATATGCTAGCATGTTTGTTAATGCCAATGAAATATATCGACATAAGTTTTGTTATAGCCTTCATATAACAGCAACGCTCGATTTCTGGCTAACATATATGACTACAATTACACATTTCGGATTTTCAGAGGACAAAATATGTCTTGGCGACATAGTTTCTATGAAGGTTAATGTTAAAAACCATGTTACGTACTTCGAAGGTCTTTGCCACATTTTACATCCGAAGTGATCGTAATTTGGTATTGCGCTTTCTGGAAGGATAAGAACCCACTCAGTACTTTCCTATTTGACTCGATGTCTTGTCATACGGTTCCCAACCCATCAGATGACAAAATACAATCCAACGAAGGTTTATATTTGTTTTATAAGGAATGCTGTATTAGAGAGATTTAGTTGACATTTCTTCAGAAATAGGTGTACCTCGACCATCGTTTATACCGATGGTCGAGGTACCGGCGAAATAGTCGAGATTTTCCCAGAAGAAGAAGCAGAAGTACAGTCGAAATCGTTTATAACGACGGCCGAGGGATTGGCGAAATTGGCCGCTATAAGCAGTACTCATTGCAAGCGATATCACATAAAAGGCAAAACTTTTTCGGGACTTCTGGATACCATCTGTAATTGGGAATTTAGTTTTCTAAGTTGTGGTCGAAGATATCCTGCCGGAAATATACGTAAATATACAAGATATTAATTCAAAGCTCTAATGTATATATAAATCGGAATATATAAAATGTTATATAGAAAATAAACAAAAATTAATAATGAATAATAAGCATATAAGAAATGATCCTATACAATACCCTACCATAATTTGATTAAATTCAAGATATGCTCTTATCTCTGAAATGATTTGAACCAAACTTTATGAACTAATTCTCTCATTGATTGCAAGAATCGATCACGATGAATTATTGACCAAAAAATCATACGAAATTTTGTGTGGGAGCCGTATCTAAATAATAACAAATATGACAAATGGTCGTGGATTAGGTAGCCTCTGAACAATTTAATGTTGATCGGACAAAGTTATTTCCCAATTTGAGGTTCCTCAATTCACTGTCGATTTAACCATGTCCGTCTATTTTCTCATAATATTTAAGATAGAACTTTATAAATTTGCACATGCATTGCTACTACTTGTAGGATATTTTATATATGGGTACCCTTTTTAGTGTCTGTCAATTTGTATACCCTACACAACTATGGTCAGGGTATTATAGCTTTGTGCAGCTCCAAAAGTTTGTATTGTAAAATATTGGCCCTAGATCCACCTTTAAGTATACCGATCGTCATATCTCGACTAGCTGAGTCGTTCTAGACATGTGTGTCCATCTGTCCGTCTGTCCATTATAATTTGTAAACACGATACAGGCAACAGTTATGGACCAATCTTCACGAAATTTTGCATGTAGGATGGGTTCTGGCCAATGAAGACCCCTATTGTTTTTGGAAAAGATTTGTTAATATTTAGGGGATGAAATGGATCAAAAACTTTATTTTTGATTTTGGCCCAAACACCGCGAATTTTTGCATGGAGAAGGGGATCGGGCCAAAGAATAAGCATCGGTCAATATTTAGCGGGTCAAATGAACCCTGACTTTTGTGTGAAAAATGACAAAATTTGTATTCTATGTCGTATATATTTGCCCCTGAAGGACCAAGACCCGAGAAATTTATAGTGTGTTCAAGAGGAGTGGTTGACCTTTAAATTGATACCAACTATATGGTCGTATGTACTCAGATGTGGGAGTTACACTTAAATATTGACAGGTGCTTACGTATTCAGACATTATTTAGTAACCCAATACCACACTAGAGGGCGGAAATATAGCGCTGATCGCTTTGAAAATTTCCATGAGATTCCAGTTATGGTCAAGGACAACGCCTATAATTTTCGGTGATGATCAAATAATAATTTTGGGATGAAGTCGACCGAAAACTTAACTTTTTGTGTGTGTTTTTTTTTACTCAATCTATAGGCCACAATTGAAAGCCCAACATCACAACATAACCCACGGTAAAGAGAATCTGGACAAGTACAGCCCTCGTCTACTGAATATTGCTAATATTTGTTGACTTTTAGTCGGGTATCAAGAGGTTGCAAATAACGCAAAGTTAGACTTTCGTGGAAGTTGTGTAGGGTATTATATGGTCGGCCCCGTCCGACTATACTGCTCCGCTCACTGGTTTGATATTTGCACAAAATGTACAATGTTTTGACATAACCTCCACAAGAAGGATCCGCCCAATTTCGCTATTTAGTTGGTCATAAACGTATTTTCTAACTAAAGCAACTGTAATTCCATATTCGGGATTTTTGGAGTGTAAAAAATCTTCTTCGCAGAAAAATTTCAATGCGGGTCCATTTTTAGGGCGATTATAATGGTTGCAAAGGATTTCGGTGAATTGAAGGTACTGGACGAATTTTCTATTCAGAGTTACTATATGTAAGTGGGACGGCCCAGGGGGCCCGTATGTATCTCCCAGTATTACATACATACGTCCCCAAAATAAAAAAAAATTGTCATTTCAAAATTAATACACAAGTATTTGTTTTCGTTTCAGATTTTCATTGTCATCACAGTTTTATTTCCATTCAAATTCACATTCTCTGATTTACTTTTTCAACAAAAGGGGAGCGGCGAAGGGGGTGGCTACTGGGGCAGCAACAGCGGCGGGAGCTACAGCATAAGTGGCAGGGAAGGCAGCAGAGTGGGCAATGGTGTGGGCATTGTAGCTGGAGGCATAGGGAGCAACATAGGCAGCACTACCGACGACAGCGGGAGCAGCATGGTAAGCCAATGGAGCAGAGTAGGCCAATGGGGCAGAGTAAGCCAGGGGAGCGGTATAAGCCAAAGGAGCAACAACACCGGGTTTAGCAGCGGCCAAAGCCAAGAGAGCGAAGAAGCAAACAGCGATCTAAAAAATTAAAAAAGCGGGTTAGTAATCCATTCCAATATAAAATAATTTCAATTTAAGTCAACTTACGAATTTGAACATTTTGTTGGTGGTTTGGTTGTGGTTTGTTTTTGAGTGACAATTTAAAATTGATATTGAATGCCAAAATACCCAAGTCTTTTATACTAAAAAAACTTAAAATGTCCATTAGCCTATAAATATGCCAAGCACACATTTCAAAAGGTCGACGTACTTCCCAGTCACATTCATGCACATACTTATGTATGTACGTGTGTGCTACACATAATACAGCCAAGTGGGATGTGTGTCTGTGTATAGTTGTTGCCGTTAATAGATGTCAGCTTCGCCTAAAATAATTTATAAATTATAACCTGGATTTTATCAGTGCATCAGTAAAATGTATTTCAATTGAGTTCAATTATTTATTATTTTAATTAGCGATTTTCTCCAAGTGGGTCATCATCGAAAATGGTCTACAGTGATCAATGTTTTGATATATCTTACATATAACGGTTTCAACCGATTTTGATATCCTCCAATTTTATTTTTATATTTTAATAAGGTAGTCAAATCAAATGTAATCAATCAAATAGTCAGTTTTCAAGCCAATTTGGGTCCTGATCGGCTACCGAATTTTTATGCCAAGTGGCCCATGTTTTTCGATATTTTGAGGATTTGTATAATTAACGAAAAATGTCCATTAAAAGTATTTGAAATTTAATATATCTCAGGGATTCATAATCAATTATTACTGACTAAAATTCAATAATTAAAAAAAATATTTTTAGTTGTAAAATAAAATTTAAAAATTTACACCTTTTACCTTGTGGCGTGAATTCAAGATTCCTTAAATTGGTAGGGATCGTTGTGGGGCCATTGTAAATTGCCCTCTAGCAGGTCATTTATGCTCTGAGACCAAACTGGGCTAGGAAAAGTAAGAGGAATGTTTGTATTCGGTATCCTTACAAACATGGACTTATACAAAAAAGTAGCTGAGAATATTTTTTTATTCAGCACGCTTGCCGCATGCCGATTCGGTGCCACTGTATTTGAAGAATGCAGTTTATATCTTTAAAATATAGAAGATCGTGCAAGACCTTTATAAGAGGATATGCCGTTTTCGTATTTCGAATATTTTCTACAAAAATGTTTCGGCGGTAAAATGTGTTAATAAATTTTAGAATATCAGAAATAGGCTGGACTTATAAGAATTTATGTCAAGAAATGGTCCGATTTTGAAAGTAGGTTTTTCAAATTTTAAAAGCACAACATGTAAAATGTTGAAGTACCGAAAACAGAGCGGGGCCCTAATCTATCGTAAATGGTCTGTAAATATGTATTTTAAGTCTCCATGAACTCGGAATGTCTAATAACCATTGTTTCAGAGGGAAATCCGGCAAAAACCCTTCATAGCTCCGAAAATGGAGTGGGCCGTCAGAACATGAACCCATATCGAAAATGTTCTTCATATATGTATATCAATATATGAGGAATATATATCCCAATGACCTAGTCCTTCATATTGGACAAAAAAAAAACATACAAAAATATTGAAAATGGAGAGAGTCCTTTATGTTGGGATTATGTCAAAAAATGGGCCAACAGCGAAAATTTTCTGCAAATAATTGTGCATCCCTTCATATCACCGAATGCCAAATTATACCCAGTTCGGTGGAAAAATACCGCTAAAACCTCTGAAGAGCCGAAAATAGAGCGGAACCGTAATATGGATACGTCAAAACATGGACCAATATTGAAAATTTTCTGCAAAAATGTTTTTCACTTTCCATTAACCCGGAATGTCCAAAAACAACGTTTTCAGTTTGAAAATGCTGCTACAATCTTCAATGTTCCGAAGATGGAACGGGGTCTTAATGTGAATGATATATCAAAACACGAACTTATATTGAAAATGTTCTGCAAATATGTTTATCATCCTCAATGGACAAGGAATATCGAACGACAGCTTATTCGGTGGAATAATGTTATTAAAACCTTCAACAATACCGTACCTTTCAGAACATGGACCAATAACGAAATTGTTCGCTAAAATGTTGTTCACTCTTCAAGATCACGGAAGCCAAATTACACTTGCAAAACAACCATCAATGTTCAGAAAATTGCGTAAGACCGTAATATGAAGAATATGTCTGATCATCGAAAATGTTCTGCAAATATGTTTGTGGCAAATACTTCATATGGGGCCAATGACAAAAGATGAACATTGGATCTGCTTACATATTTTTCTCTTATCGAACATGCGGTCAAAACCTACAATATGTTATGGAACATTTTGTGGATATAAGTTCCCACGCATATATATTGAAAAATTAAAAAAAGGACCCAGAAAGTAAAAATACATTAAATTATAAAATATTTTCAATGGTCCGGAAGGGTTATATTAGATCTACTTCAAAAATGGAAAAATATCTGCCAGGAGATGTTTAACCCTCGGAGAATCCAAAATACTAAATGGCAGCCACTTCGGAAGGAAGACTCTGCTGAGATCGTCAAAATATCGAGAATGACATATATACAGTACCGTAGTAGTAATAATCCAATCATAACGTTTTCAAAATTCTCAAATTTCAATTTGTAAACATGCAACCTTAAATAAAAATTATACCCTTCAAGTTCATTAATACTACGGCAAGTAACCGATGAATGTAAATTCGTCATGTGAATGTGTGTCTGGCATACATATTTATTGGCCTACTCACCGCTTAACTTGTTAGTATAAAAGACCAGCATATTCAGACATTCAGTATCAATTTTAAATTGTCACTCAAAAACAAACCACAACCAAACCTCCAACAAAATGTTCAAATTCGTAAGTTGATTAGAATTGAAATGTTTATACCTCGGAGTAGATTAATAACTGTAAATCCTTATTCATTTTTTCAGATCGCTGTTTGCTTCTTCGCCCTCTTGGCTTTGGCTGCTGCTAAACCCGGTGTTGTTGCTCCTTTGGCTTATACCGCTCCCGTGGCTTACTCTGCCCCATTGGCCTACTCCGCTCCTTTGGCTTACCACGCTGCCCCAGCTGCTGCTGTTGTTGGTAGTGCTGCCTATGTTGCTCCCTATGCCTCCAGCTACAATGCTCACACCATTGCCCACTCTGCTGCCTTCCCTGCCGCTTATGCTGTAGCTCCCGCCGCTGTTGCTGCCCCAGTAGCCACCCCCTTCGCCGCTCCCCTTTTGTTGAAAAAGTAAATCAGAGAATGTGAATTTGAATGGAATTTGAATGGAAATAAAACTGTGATGACAATGAAAATCTGAAACAAAAACAAATACTTGTGTATTAATTTTGGAAAAAATATGATCCATCATCACCGAGTCTAAAATTGTATATAACTTTGACCAATCAACATGATTTTTTTAAGAGGCTAGCTAATCCAAGACCATTTGTCATATTTACTATTATTAGTTAGATACGTCTCCCACAAATAATTTTGTCCAATTTTTTGTCAATAATTCATCGTGATCGATACGTGCTATTAATGGGATCGATACGTAGTGGAAGTATTTAGTTAAGAAAGTTTGGTTCGAATCATTTCAGATATAAATTGCTAAAAACATATCTTGGATTTAGTCGAATTATGGTCGCTCGGTACCATTCGACTTAGATTTATTCCCTTTCCTTATAGTTTCTTTTTTCGTTTTGTAATTATCTCTTTCTTGAATGGTGGATTATCTATATATATAAAAGAGCTTAGTGTTAAGTGAGTGAGTGACTGACTGACTGACAGATCATCGTCCAGACGAAACGGCTAAAGCTGGAAGCTTGAAATTTTGAGTGTGGGTTGTTGTTGGTGTGTAGGCGTGATATAAGGCTGGGTTTTTGGAAATTCGAACTGGGAGGGTACGAAAAGTACTAAAGTGTACAAATATGGTACCCTTTGTATTAGGCTAACGGGAAGAGCTAGAATTCTGAAATTTGGAATGTGGGTCCCTAATAGAATGTTAGGAAGATGTACAAAAGAATTTTTGGAAATTCGGCCTATATAGCAAGAATCTTGAAATTTTATGGAAATTTCTTTATGGAAATGGTCTATGAAATTAGCACATATTTATATAAAAAGTACAAAATGGTACTAAATTTAGTACTATTTGCGTTTAAATGAGATGGAAGCCTGAAAATCGGAATTAGAACTACTATTGGAGTACAGGATTAAGGCAGCTTTAAAAAATCGTACTTATGCGTAGGAAAAGTACTAAATGGTACTAAATTTGGTGCAAGTTGGATTTAGGTGAACATATAGAGCTTATGTCTTTAAATTGTGAATTAAAATGGCTGTTGGAGTGTAGGATTGAGGTAGTTTAGGAAATTCTTACTTATTGGTGCGAAAAGTACTAAATGGTACTAAATTTAGTACAATTTGGATTTTGGGAGAACGGATAGAGCTGAAAATCTGAAATTTGGAATTAAGATTGCTGTTGAAGATTGAGGTATAGACACATCTTTGGAAATTCGTATTTATGTGTACGCAAAATAATAAACGGTACTAGATTTGGTACAATTTGAATTTAGGTGAGCGGAGAGAGCTGGAACCCTAAAATTTGGAATAATGGTTACTGTTGGAATATAAAATTGAGATATAGAAGCATAGTACTTGTGTGTACTAAATGGTACTATATTTGGTACAACTTGATTATGTGTGAACGGATAGAGCTGGACTCCAGAATTCTTGAATTAAAATTACTGTTGGAGTGTAGGATTCAAATTACAGGGTTATGGTATTAATGTAATTTTATACTTATGGAAACGAGAAACACTAAATGGTACTAAATATGGTACAATTCGTTTTGTGAGAGTTCTAAAATTTGGAATTAAAATAAACGTTGGAGTGTAGGATGATAAAAATATGCGAAAATATTTAAAGGTGTTGGAGATATGTAAAATGGTACACAAATATATATAGGAAGTTTATTTGGCCTGAACCTTTTGGCCAAATTTATATACTGGGTATAACGAATGGCGCAAAAAAATAATGGGCTAGCATTATAAAAAATATGTAAACACGTTGTTATTACGTTAATAAATATATTTTTATACCCTCCACCATAGTATGGAGGGTATATTAATTTTGTCATTCCGTTTGTCATTCTTGATCAGGATAAAAGAAGGAATTGAGATAGGGTGAAATTTTGCATAAAGTTGTCTTTTGTCTGCAGGCAGGTCAAGTTCGAATATGGGATATATCGGTCCACGTTTAGGCATAGCTCCCATATAAGGGTACCCCCAATTTTCGGTATTTTGGGGTTCTTGCACGCATTTTTCAACGGAATTCGCTGAAGTTTGCTACATTGGGTTCTTATTGGGTACTAAATGTGCCCACAAAAAATTATTAATATAAGTCCATTTTTTCTGGTAGCCCCAATATAAATGTACCCCCAAATTTCGGCATTTTGAGGTTCTTGAGGGCGTTTTTCAACCGAAATCACTGAAATTTGGTATTTTGTAGTCCTATATGGAAACAAATCTCCCTACCAAAAATCTCCCTACATTTTTCATATTAATATAATTATCTGATTTTTCCGCGTTTTGGGTTTGTTGTAATCATTTCACCTGCGAAGGATATCGATATAAAAAACTAGAACGTACGGTTCGATAATGAACTATATGAGAACTATAGCCCGCATTTAGGCTTAGCCGTAGCCCCTGTGTGGGAGGCTCCAGAAGGCATGGGCCGATATTCCCCAAATTCGGACTTGAACTAAGTTTGAAAGACATAATAAGATGGGATGAAATCAAATTTTTCTAAAACGGATTTGGTCCAAAGAAACATGGCGTCTAGAACCAATATTTCGATGAGGCACATTTTCACCGTGTGGAAATGTATACACACTAATTAGCCATACGGCTGAGGGTATAATTTTCTATTAAAAATTATTGTTTACATAATCGGTTTGAAGAAATGTCGGTATAGGTCCATTTTTTGGTATGTTCCCTATATATTCATTTCAAGTACCTGCCAGTATATCTATGGCGGGTATCCAAAGTTCGGCCCGGCCGAACTTAACGCTTTTTCTCTTGTTTTGTTAGATATCGATTGAAGATTTGATCTTTTAAATAAAATTGTACCTTAAAAGACATCGCGACATATTGAATTATTCGCTATAACGAATGGGCCTTATAGCGGTCGTTTACTGTATATTGATATGATTCTATCCACTATGAGTAGGACACAAGTTTATTGTGGCATGTGAAGGCCTAGAAGATGTCAATGATGATGTTTGTCCTCGTCGCCGGGGACCTCAAAAACCGAGGAGAATATTGAAGAAGTGAAGAATATGATGAGTATCAGACAGTTCAAATATAGAACGGGCATATCGTTCGGCTTATGCCAATCAATTTGTTATGAATGTTTTAGGCTTGAAACATGCTTCTGAGAACATTGTTTCAAAATTGTCTCTAATTTTTTTTTAGCAAAAACAACGTCACATGGGCAGTATCGAGGAACTGGTGAACGGCAATCCAGATTACCTTAAAAAAGTTTATAACGGGTGACAAATCATGGGTGTATAACTATGACATGGAATGGAATTGTATTGTAACAATGGACTCGTCCAGAATATCCAAGGACACAAAATAAATCATATTAGATAAAATTTGGAAGTTCTGTCCACTATATTCGTTGACTGCAATGGCGTGGGACATTATTAATACATGCAATTAGGAATACTACGTTGAAGTTATGTGCCATCTGGGCGAAACACATTCGTCAGAACAACACATAATTGTACGATTCTGAGGGGGATTACTGGATTACTTTCAATGGTGACAAGATAATTGATGAAAAAATAAAAACTTGTTTTAAAAAATTTTAAATTACAATTATTTTTATCGGATGTCGTATATGGAAGCTATATCTCATTCAGAACCATTTCCCATCGATTTAAAATTTATAATTGTAAGAAATATATCACCAATTGGATATGCCAAACTTTACTAATATAATAATTCCAACTACATCCTCAAAAGTAACAAAGTTACTGCAACTATGGTCCAGCTTTCGTCATAAAACAATCAAAATTTAATTAAAACCAGTGAGCGGAGCAGTATAGTCGGACGGGGCCGACCATACGATACCCTACACAACTACCATGGAACTCAAATTTTCTGCGGATGTTTATTCCGAGCCTGGGCAATATTTCGTGATATTTGCACCCTCTTGCCCGATATCCGCTCTCTAGAGTGATAATGGGTTACTAAATAATATACGAATACGGAGATACTTGTAAATATTTAGGTGTAACTCTCACATCCGAGCACATACAATAATATAATTGGTCTTAATTTAAAGGTCAACCACTCCTCTTGGATATAATATCAACTTCCCGGGTGTATGTCCTTCAGTGGTAAATATATATGCTAAAGAATAAAAATTTTGTCATTTTTCACACAAAAATCAGGGTCCATTTGACCCGCTAAATATTGACCGATCTTTATCAAAACAGGCATGCTTATTCTTTGGCCCGACCCCCTTCTCCATACAAAATTTCACGATGTTCGGGCCATTATTGCGGCCTGTGGAGCGACCAGAAAAACCGACAAAAATTTAGTATTTGGTCCATTTCATCCCCTAAATATTAACCGATCTTTCCCAAAAACAATAGGGGTCTTCATTGGCCAGAACCCATCCTACATGCAAAATTTCGTGAAGATTGGTCCATAACTGTGGCCTGTATCGTGTTTACAAATTATAATGGACAGACGGACGGACGGACGGACGGACACACATGTGTAGATCGACTCAGCTAGTCGAGATATGACGATCGGTATACTTAAAGGTGGGTCTAGGACCAATATTTCGCGGCGTTACAAACTTTTGGGGCTGCACAAAGCTATAATACCCTGACAACATAGTTGTGTAGGGTATAAAAACACATATTATTTTACTTTTGTTTTTCAATTGTCATCACAGTTCCTTTTTTATTCAAATTTCACATTCTCTGATTTACTTTTTCAACAAAAGAGGAGCGGCGAAGGGAGTTGCTACTGGGGCAGCAACAGCGGCGGGAGCTACAGCATAAGTGGCAGGGAAGGCAGCAGAGTGGGCAATGGTATGGGCATTGTAGCTGGAGGCATAGGGAGCAACATAGGCAGCACTACCAACAACAGCAGCAGCGGGGGCAGCATGGTAAGCCAAAGGTGCGGAATAGGTCAATGGGGCAGAGTAAGCCACGGGAGCGGTATAAGCCAATTGGGCAACAACACCAGGTTTAGCAGCAGCCAAAGCCAAGAGGGCGAAGAAGCAAACAGCGATCTATAAAATAATGATGAATATTCAGTTAATAATCGATTCCAGTTTATTCCACTTTTTAAGTTAACTTACGAATTTGAACATTTTGTTGGATATTTGGTTCTGGTTTGTTTTTGAGTGACAATTAACAATTGATGATGAATATCGACACACACCAGACTTTTATACTAAGCCAACAAAATGTGTGTTGGCCAATGAATATGTATGCGATACATATTTTCAGAAAACCGCATTACGCATTACGTACGCACATTCCACTTTAGTAGTAAAAACATCATAGATATATGAAGGGCATAATTAGCATGTATGTGTGCATGTGTATTTGTGTTTTAGAATTCAGCTGTTACATTCTTTACAAAAAAATTAAAATGGATTTATATTTATTGGGCTGAGATCTTCGTAATTATACCCTTCACCACACTGTGCATATGTTTGTAACAGGCAAAAGGAAACGAGATAGACAAATGGTTCCTTTTGAGAATATGCATCGAATCACTTTTTAAGTCCATTTATGCATGTCCGTATATATATATATATATATCCTTCGATTTCCACGAAATTTGTCATAGCGTACTGAATTAGGTCTAGAATGATGTGTGTTAAATTTCGTAAAAAATCGGTTCAGATGTAGATATAGCTCCCATATAAATATTCATCCGATTTTAAGGAAAATGGTGCACCAAAGTCCCTATATATCCTTCGATTTGCACGAAATTTGGCATAGCGTACTGAATTAAGTCTAGAAATAAGTGTGTTAAATTTCGTGAAAATCGGTTCAGATTTAGATATAGCTCCCATATATTTTCGCCCGATTTTATGTAAATGGTGCACCAAAGTTCCTATATATCCTTCGATTTGCACGAAATTTGGCATAGCGTACTGAATTAAGTCTAGAAAGATGTGTGTTAAATTTAGTGAAAATCAGTTCAAATTTAGACATAGCTGACCAAAATTTTGGTATAGATTGCAGAATTACATGTTTAATTTCATGTTGTTGGTACTTCAAAAATGCGACGTCTGTTAGGATTCCATCTGTTCCATACCCAATGTGGTGAAGGGTATCATATAGTCGGCCCCGTCTGATCACTTAAGATCCCATCGGCAGAATGACTGATGTAGTTTTTATAATATGCCAAAAGGGGTACAAGTAATAATCTATTGCTGGGTTACCAGAAGAAATACTATGAGGACAATTTCTGATTCCATGGTTTGAACTAATCCTATTGACACGTCATTTTGGTCTCTATGGCATACAAAAATTCAAAATATTTTTAAAAACCACCTTTTTTGAAAACTAAGCACAATTAAAATCATGTACAGATAACTAATTAAAAACAATCTGTAAAATCTATCATAATTGATAACAATTTGTATAGTACACCTAACATTCGGAAAATCGCCCTTATTATAGAAAATAATGGTTCGAATTCATGAAAAAGATAAATTTGAAAAAAAAGACATGATATCTCTTTTAAATAATTTCTTTAAAGTTATTAGGCAAAACAACTCTTAATGTTCTTGTTTAATTAATCGATAATTATGTGTTTAACCGAAACATACATCACCACCCAAATTTAAAGCTGATGGTATAAAAGATTTGCGCACACCGTCATTCATTATCAATTTCATATTGTCACTGAACACAACAAAACCCAACAAACCCTCAACAAAATGTTCAAATTCGTAAGTTTATTTTGAAACATTTGTTATAACTTGAAAAATATTTTTAATCGTATATCCTTTATCTTTATGTAGATCGCTGTCTGCTTCTTCGCCCTCTTGGCTTTGGCTGCTGCTAAACCCGGTGTTGTTGCTCCTTTGGCTTACCATGCTGCCCCCGCTGTCGCCGGTAGTGCTGCCTATGTTGCTCATTATGCCTCCAGCTACAATGCCCACACCATTGCTCACTCTGCTGCCTTCCCTGCCGCTTATGCTGTAGCTCCCGCTGCTGTTGCTGCCCCAGTAGCCACTCCCCTTTTCTTGAAGAAGTAAATCAGAGAAAGCCAATTTGAATGGAAATAAAACTGTGATGACTATGGAAAATTAGAATGAAATGATTTGTTTTTAATATTATCGTTTATATTTCACATATAAAGGGTTAAAGGTCCAAAATAAACACATTTTGATCCCAATATATAAAATAATGACAGTTTAGCAGTATTATGCTAGCATGTTAATGTTGGACGGGCACTGGATGACCGTGAATGAAATATGACTCATTCTTTTACACCGCCATTGAAATTTCAGACATAACTTTGGAGATTTATTTCAAATCGGACGAAAACCAGTAAGGAAAGTAGTAGTAGGGGCCGACTATATTATACTCTTCACCACTATGGGTATATTAAACAGCTGCATTCTAAACGACGTCGCATTTTTGAAGGACCATTAACATGAAATTGGATGAACTAAAATATGTGATCTTTATCTCAATGTGAACCGACTTAGATCAATCCATACACATGTCATTTGTTTGTTACAATGGGACAAAATTATGTAAATCGATTTCAAGTAAATATCAATCGGACATCCGTTGGGCTATGTCTCTACTTGTACAAAACCAATGCTAAATGCTCAATTTTGTACGTTGTGCAAAATTTCATGTCAATCTGACACATGAGGAGTTTTGTGCACCATTTACATAAAATCGGACGAACATATATATGGAAGCTATATACAAATATTAACTGAACTCAACGAATCTTATCACAGGTTGGTTTATATTAATTACAGTACAGGCTTTAGTGCTCAATTTATATAAAATCTGACGAATATATATGGGAGCTGTATCGAAATCTGAAAGGATTTTCCCGAAACTTACCACTCATCATTCTAGACCCAATCCAGTACGCTATGCCAAATTTCGTGCAAATCGAAGCATTTGTTGGGACTTTGGTGCACCATTTATCTAAAATCGGAAGAAAATATATAAATCTAAATCTGAACCGATTTTAATAAAATTTAACACACACGTTTCTAGACTTAATTCAGTACGCTATGCCAAATTTCGTGTAAATCGAAGGATATAAAGGGACTTTGGTGCACCATTTACCTAAAATCGGACGAAAATATATATGGGAGGTTTATATCTAAATCTGAACCGATTTTCACGAAACTTAACACACATCACTCTAGAATTAATTAAGTACGCTGTGCCAAATTTAGTGCAAATCGACAGATATATAGGGACGAAAATATATATGGGAGCTATATCTTAATCTGAACAGATTTTTCCAATTTCAATAGAGTTCGTCCTTGGGAAATAAATATATATTACCCGTATTACAGTGAGGTTAAGGATATGCCCTACCTAAAATACCCATACCCAAAAAAAAGGGTATCCAATTTTCGGTGTCCTGAAAATTCTAGTCATTTTTCCGACGGAAGTAGTTGTAGTTAGTTAATCAACTTTTGTCAGGAGGATTTCAATTAAAATTCACTCTTCATTTCGCAACCTAAATTTCTGCAAATGCTTTGAAATAACCGTTATTTTACTATTCCTACTTATTTAGAGGTAATTTGATTTACTTATCATATATAAACGTATAGTTTCAGCTTTATTTATTATCCATTCGCAGTTTCTGTAAAATAGAAGTCTAAGTATTGGAATTTTCTCTAGATATCGGTATGCAGTAATGTTCCCACAAAGTTCTTGAAATTTGCCATTAAGGGTTCAGAAGAGGGTAACAAAACTCCTCCCAAATATTTAGGTATTACGAATGTGTTAGACGCAAACGATGTGGCTGTAATTTAATATTTCGGCTTCGCATATTTATTGCGATGTGGTACATTACTTAATATTTAAATATTCATAAATTTTTCCTCGCAGATAGAGCTATGCTTTTTTGAACATCAATGTTTTATTACCGTTAATTATTCGGCATTTCGATTGTTTCGATTGTATTCCAAGAAAAATGGAATGGAATATAGCCATTTTGATTTTCGGATTTTCGCACGCAAAGAGACCTCTTGATTCTTGATGAAATGTTATCAATATAGATCAATGTTTTGACATAGACGATCGTTCATTTTCGATATGTTTATGATCTTAGTCTAATGTTCCAGCCTACATATATTAAACTATATTTGATTTTCAAAGAGTGTAAATAATCTCATCAATAATCGTGTGTTTCACATTTCAAGTTTAGCATCGTGCTGGAAGGTATAACAAATTCGTTCAGATCGGATATTATTGTACATGTCATCTATAAAATTGTAGTACTACACTACAGCATTATCACTATTTATATATCATTCCCAAGCTCATTAGGATTTAGAAATGCAGGGCAACATCCCATCAAAACTAAATTTTCATTTCACTTTGTCATTGTCAACACACATTTATTTCGATTCAAATTCACATTCTCTGATTTACTTTTTCAACAAAAGGGGAGCGGCGAAGGGAGTGGCTACTGGAGCAGCAACAGCGGCGGCAGGGGCAACGGCGTAGGTGGCTGGGAAGGCAGCAGAGTGGGCAATGGTGTGGGCATTGTAGCTGGAGGCATAGGGAGCAACATAGGCAGCACTACCGACGACGGCAGAGGCTGTGTGGTAAGCCAAAGGAGCAGAGTAGGCCAGTGGGGTAGAGTATGCCAAGGGAGCGGTATAAGCCAAAGGAGCAACAACACCGGGTTTAGCAGCAGCCAAAGCCAAGAGGGCGAAGAAGCAAACAGCGATCTAAAAGTGGCGGTAGAATACAAATTAAATAATATATAACTATTTAAAAATTGTTTCGAAAAAAAACTTACGAATTTGAACATTTTGTTGAGGGTTTGTTGTGTTTTGTTTTTGAGTGACAATATAAAATTGATAATGAATGTTCAAGTGCGCAAGCCTTTTATACTCTCAACTGTAAATGTTTGTTTTGGTCAATGCATATGTATGCGGTACATGAATAATATAATATTCACTGAACTTCTTCATTATCGAATAGGTAACACAAACATGAAGGCGATATACATAGATTTTAATTCATTATTGTTACAATCTGATAATCGGATTTTCCAAAAATTTGATGAATAGTACAATTCTTCCAATGTATTAATTTTTAAAGATTTGAAGTGATTATACTGTGCAAAAAGATT